TAGAGCAGGAAAAACAGAAAAAAAGGAACAAACCATAGATGTATACAAAAGCCTGGGTAAATCTCCAAGGAAATGCTAAGGAAATCCCAGACGGCTGCATACTTAATGGTTCCATTAATATAACATTAACATTCTTTTCATAATTTTTTAAAATTTGATGTGTATGAGTGTATTGCCTGCATGTATGTTAAGTGCACCTGTGTCCTACAATGCCTGAGGAGGTCAGAAGAGGGCACCGGATTACCTGGAACCGGAGTTATGGATGGCTGTTAGCCTCCATGAGGGTGCTGAGGCCTGAACCTGGGTCATCTGCAAGAGCAGTCACTGCTCTTAACTACTGAGCCACCTCTCTAACCCCAATATAACATTCTTTAGCAAGACTTCAGAAATGAAGAGACGACTGGCTGGGGATTAGGAGGCTGTGCATGAGGGATGTAGGTATGGCTATCAACAGGCAACATCAGGAACTCAGCAGAGACACAAATGCAAATGGCCTATCTTTCTACTGTGTCCTGGTCAATCTTCTGATTGACACTACCGTGCTGTGGTATTCAGAATGTCACCCTCAGTCAAGCATGATGGCTCACACCTGCAATCCCAGAACTCAGGAGGTTCCAGACCAGCCTGAACTACAGAGTAAGACTTCATTTCAAAAACACAACAAAAAAGATGATACCACCAAGGGACACTGGTTAAACAGAATAAGGGATCTCACTGTATGACGCCCTATGATGGCATATGCATCTATAGCTATCTCAAGACAAAACATTTAATTCAGGTTAAGAATTCCTTATCTCAAATAGTAGAAATAGTAACTGAAAATGATGGAGAGATTTTAGTACTTCGGTGGTTGGTTTGTTTAAAGGTAAAGAAAGTAGCTGACTCAGAAAAATCCGTCATGTCTCATGATGTCCTGAAAAATGACAACCTGGGTTTGAGATGCCCCAGCCTGGTTACCCTATGTTTTTGCTTTTGTTTTTGTTTTTTTAAAAAAGCAATTATAGGGGGCTGGAGAAATGACTCAGCAGTTAAGAACACTGGCTGTTCTTGTGGAAGATACGGGTTCAAATCCTAGCACCCACATGGCACCTAACAAACAACTGTCCATAACTCCAGTCCCAGGGGATCCAAAGGCCTCTTCTGTCCTCCACGAGCATTGCATGACATGCGTGCACTTACATACATGCAGACAATACACACATACACAAAAATTTAAAATAATAAAATTTTTTTTTAAAGCAATTATAGGAAAGATAATGCCGTCAGGTCAAAAGGGGATGGCTGGCCTTCTGAATGCCCCTATATTTCAGTCTTCAATGGCCTAAATGCAAGTCTTGTGATATGAACTCTGGGCACCAAGAGAAAAGGGAAAAATACCAAGACCCTAAGACAGCTCTCTGTGGGGTGCAGGCACAGACAGCTTCAAAGACAGGCAGCCACCATCATGTTGGACATCTGATCCAGCTCCCAATAAGTCAGGGTTAACATGATCCCCTCCCTACCATCTGAATAGAGAACAATGAGTCCCTTTATTTCCACTGCACCTGCTGAGAAATCTGCCACAGGAATATCTGGAGGAATACCCTGAATACAGTCTGAAAGGCCTAGCATTCTGGGACAACTGTGTTTGATGGTTATGGGAACTCAACCAATGATGCCATGAGGAGACCACTACTCCACTGGGAAGCTGGCCAAAGTACTGATTGCTGAACTTAGGTGATGAGACCAGGGGAAAAAGTTAACTGTAGGGCAAGGACAAACCTTCTCTGGAACATATTTATATGCTTCCAATCTTCCACTCTAAACTGGGTGCTTTTATTACACATTGCACTGTATTCCCTAAGTAAGTTGATGGTAAGGTCAGTGATTATGAGCTCCACCTTAAAGATCAGAAGACAGGTTTCAGAGTTTACGAGGCTTGTCCAAAGCCACTCTAGCCTCTGGCAAGAGGCAGAGTTGGCATTCAGATTTTATAAAACTCTATTTACAAAACTGTTAGGAAGTATCACATCATATAAATTATGAAATTGAGTTTCTGTGTTATCAGATAGTAACAGAAACTCCTACCCACAACTGGATGAGGTCAGAGGGAAGATGCAAGCAACGTTTCTTTCTACCAGTATGGTACATAGTAGGTACTAAAAAAATGATTGCTAAGCTGAACTCACCTAGGGGAAAAGGAAGCAGAGGTCTCCCCCTCAGCTGTGTGCAGGGAAGAAGGGCAGAGGAGGAGCCCCTAACCTGCCTTCCCAGATGCAATGTGGCTGTGGGCATCCTGGCCTGCCTGGGGTACAGCTGTACCAAGACAACAAGACAGCCACACACAGCAAAATGCTCTGAAGTGCAGGGGACAAAGAAACCCAGGGTGAGCCCCAGGGAATGGGTGATGACATCAGACACAAAGTATGTAGTGAGCCAATTCTGGAACCTCAGCGAATTCAGACTAAACAGCGGGGGTAAGCCAGTGCTGGCCAGCTCTGGGTCTTGTGCTGAGCCAGGAGGGTTACCCAGTGGCAGCTGGGTTGGCAGGAGCATCTTTCTTTTCAGAGAATGTACTAGAAACAGGCCAGCAGGCAGAGACCTCTTATACAAGCAGCAGGGCAGGCTCAGCCTTGATTCCACTGCTTCTTGGTCTCATTCTCAAAGACACTGGACTGGAACAGATAACCGGCCCCCTTTGCTGGAAGAATCTGCAAGGAGATCTGATAAAAACTCCAGGCTGCTGCAGTCAAAGAGATGGTGACAGGAGCAGACTGTGGGGGGAGGGGAGCAAGCAGGGAGGATGGGAGAAGAAAGAACACATTAATGAAGGAAAAGAAAGCCAAGGCCACACTAAAAATACTTTCCAGGCACATATTTCTCCCAGTGCATAGCAATTCTTTCAATTAAGGATGTGTCATTTCCTGGGTTATTAAATCCAGATCATGGAACATTCCACTCTGGGACAGTAAAAGAAGGTCACGTTCCCAGCCTCCCCGCTAAGCACAGCAAAACACAGGGGTGTTATAACCACTCCTCATAGAGCTATCTGGTCGTTTCCCTTGAAGGTATGTCTGTGAGAAGTTTACAGGACCCCCTGCATGGTACTCTTTCTCATGTATACCCGGTGTGCCCATGGCCACATGGAAAGGCATCAACATACTGAACAGATAAGACCTTGAAGGAACTATGATTTTAGGGAAAAACAGCAGTACTGGCTAGTCACTGCAATTAATGAGTGACATTCAGCATCTTCTAAAGACTCTCTAGCCACTAAGCAACATACAGGAACAGAGACCTACAGGAGGTAGAAGCCCCATAGCACTTCTCCCCCTCACTCCCCCGCACCACCTGGGGGCAATGCAAAGACTATACACAAAGTTTAGCCAGCGTACCCTTAAGTGGGGTTCCTGCAATAGCCAGCCTGGAGACTCTGGGATATTAGCCTCTCCTAACTTGCATTTGAAGCAGTTGGTTTGCAAATAAATTTGGACAGACCATTAAGGGTGGGCATCAGCATTAACACAAACGCTTGAGTTTGTAAGTCATCAGAGCTCAGACTAGCTTGGAACACAGTATGTTTAATTTAATTAATTTAATTTAATTAATTTAATTTAAACGTCACCAACATTTAAAAGTCAGAAGATTTTGGCGGGGGGGGGGCACTTTCTAACGTGTTTTAATAAAAGTAATCAGCAGAAGTGGGAATCCAAGGCCTGCATGAAGCTTTGGGCCAGAACCAAGGAGCTGCACCCCCTGGACAGGGCACAGGCTGCCACAAGTCATTGCATGTCTTTGCTTGCCCTGGGAGCTCGTCCCTGAGTTCCTTACCCTGCCTGACATCTTCAGGCATTTGGGTTGACAACTCTTAACTTATTCACATCGTCATACCCCATTCCTTTGATGTTGATGGCTCAAGTGACAAAATCTGTCCTAAAGAGCTGGAGAAGGAACAGATAACAGCCTCCTCTGCTGGAAGACCCAGGAGACCTGATTCAGACTTAGAGGCAGCTGCAGCCCAAAGGTCTGTGACAGAGGGACATGCCTGCACAGTTCCAGGCAGCACGCCTCCTCAAGCTTTTCTGCCCTTTCCACATGCATTCCCATCTCTTCCCTTGCTGATTGGACCTCTGTACCAGGTGGGAACTCATTCCTATGGACAAGCATTTACAGCCTCTTGGACTTCTATTTCTTGTCCACTTTGGGAGAAGACACACATATAGCTTTCCCACACTTGTGTTGGTAGGGTGCCTTCCCCTGCTCAGATCAGATAGGGAATGTGGGCACATATGAACTAGCTCCTCTTAAAGACTAGTCTCTTAAGGAGTCCACAGTAAGGAATACTGAGGAATCTCAAGAAGCAGCAGCACCATGAAGGGCCATGATCAGAAGATAAAGGTGACCACAGCATTCAGACCAAAACACTTTCTCTCAGTCATTACGTAATTATGTCAGATATGGTGCTGGGCATTTTCTCTTTTTTTGTCTCATGTGTATGTGTGTGGTATGCATGCATGTGTATAAGCATGTTTACACATGTGTGAGTATATGTGTGTGTGTATGTGTGTGTGTGTGTGCGCGCACATGTGGCGGTCAGAGGTTGATGGAAACAGTTTTCCTCAATCACTCGCCACCCTATTCATTGAGGCAGGGTCTCTCATTTGAACATAGAACTCACTGATGTGGCTAGTCTAACTAGCCAGCTTGCTCTAAGGAGTCCTTTCTACTTGTGGAGCACTAGAATTATAGATGGGTCACCACCCACCTGGCATTTATGTGGGCTCTGGTCCTCATGTTTACACAGCAAGTACTGCAACCACTTAGCCATCTTCCAATCCCCACATGTTCTTATTTTTACAACAACCCTGCTACAAAGCAGAAGGAACTGGGGCTCCTTTGTACATGTGAGGAAAATGAATGTCAAAGGTTTTCTCCCAGGGTTAGTGGTTCAGCTTGCCAGAAACAGCTATTGTAAAAGGCCTCTCCCAGGACCAGCCTGGGGAACTCAGACGCCTACTTACGGTCTGCCATTCGTCTCTTCCCCGCTGGCTGCAGTCTTTGACTCCACAGCATTGTTGAAGTTAGAGATGTTTTCAGAAGAATAGAGGCCAGCTGGGTTGTTGTACTGGTTCGTGATGACCCTGGGGGCAGTGCTGGAGGCAGGTGAGGCAGTAAAGGGCATGGCACTTCGGTTGTGGGCACTTCCTATATGAAGGACCTCCTGTAGGCAGGGAGCAGAGGAGAAATCAAGGAGATATCCACCACATACCCCTTCATGTGCAGTACAGGTTGAGAGCCAGGGAGAACTTCCAACTGGGCCACAAAAGCCCTGGTTCAAGGCCAAACTGTAGCTGAAGACTCAAGAAGACAGGTGGGCAATGACCAGGAAAATTTCCATAAATGCACACCTGTGTAAGTTCACATCGGATCACTCACTCAGCTGTACCACTGGTTCTTCCTCCAAGGCCCAGCAGATCTGATTTCTGGGTATTCGTGGGAGAACAACACTTTAGACCTTGGGCTAGCAGGATCCAAGTCGGAGCTGGAACACCCTTTGGGGGGGGGCACATTCCAGAGGCATTAAGAAGAGCGGAGAATGCAGTGGTTCAGGTCAGCGGAGAGCAGGTGATGTCAAAAGGTGAAGATAAATTCGCTGGACCTGAGCACTTTGGATCAGCCAGAAAAGATGGTAAAGACAGGAGAGGCGGCTGCTGACTTCACAGAGATAGTCTCAGTGAAAAAGGACTGGAGGGGCTAAGGATCTATTGTTTCTTGTGGAGGAAACACAGGACTAATCAGAAGGTCCAGGAAACCTGTTTGGGGGGTGGGGGAGATACCTGTGGAGCTGCAGAACTTTGAGCCCTTTGTGTTCCCATTCCCTTCTCTGTAATGTGAGAATACACACCGTCTACCTCCACCAGAAGTCCCGTGAATAATTATTACAGCTATAATCTCTAAGAACGCCTGCGTAAACACACCAAAACACTTCTTAAACTAACATTCCTTAAAAGAAAAAAAATTACAAGTTATCTGATTACTCAATTAGCAAGGTTCTTTCTGCTACAGTGTTCTAAATCAACTCAGTTCCATCAATGCATGCCTACTAAACTCGTTATCTTCTTTTTTGAGTTCCCAAGAAGATTCTTCTAAGCCTTGGTTTCTTTCTTAAACATCCAGGCTCAGAACAGCTTCTCCCAAAGGAATCTCATCCCTCTATTGTTCTTCCTTTATTTTCTCTCCTTTCAAAAAAAATCTTTAGTGTTTAACTGGAAAACATTATTCATGAAAACTAACAATTTATTGTGTAGCTAACTTAAAGTAAAAGACAGCATAAAATATTTTTTATTTAACTATTTTTATTTTATGTTTATGAATGTTTTGCCTGCATGTATGTAAGTGCACTACTATATGCATGCAATGTCTGCAAAGGTCACAGAGGACGTTGGATCCCCTGGAACTGGAGTTACAGATGGTTGTTAGCTGCCATGTGGGTGCTGGGAACTGAACCTGGGTCCTCTGCAAGAGCAGCCAGTGCTCTCAACTGCTAAGACATCTCTCTAGTCCTGAATAAAAATATTTTTATGAAGCTTGAAGTATTGACTCAAATCTTTAATTTCAGCACTTGGGTGGCAGAGGTAGGCAGATCTCTGGGAGATCAAGGCCAATCTGGTCTAGAGTTCTAGGCCAGCTGAGACTACGGGGAGACCCTGTTTCAAAATAAAAAAAGAAAGAAAAAAGAAAACCCAAAAACGAAAAAAATTTAGGGTTGAAATTCCTTTTCTGGGGGCTGGAGAGATGGGTCAGTGGTAAAAAGCACTGGCTACTCTTGCAGAATACTCACATGGCAGTTAACAAATGTCCGTAACTCCAGTTCCAGGGGATCCAATGCCCTCTTCTGACCTCCACCAGCATTGTACAACATAGGTGCACTTACATGCATTCAGGCAATATGCTCATACACATAAAATAAATAAAATAATAAAGCACTTTTTCAAAAGATTCCTTTTCACCAGGTGTGGTGGCATATGCCTTTAATCTCAGCATTCAGGAGGCAGAGGCAGGGGATCTCTGAGTTCAAGGCCAGCCTGGTCTATATAGTGAATTCCAGCCCAGCTGGGGCTACAGGGAGACCTTGTTTCAAAAAAAACCAAAAAAAAGAAAGAGAGAGAGAGAGAGAGATTCCTTTTCTACAGTTCAGATAAGCTCCTCTTCAACAAATCAGAATCAGTGAGGTTTTGTCCACATCTACACAGATAATCACAAAAGAGGTGAAGAAGAAAAAAATTCAGTCATAATCAAGGAATGGGTAAGTAAGCTTATGACACAATGACTCAGGTTATGAAGACGGCAGCAGATTTTCAGATGGGAGGCCAGGGCACTCTCACCCACATCACTCCTGCATGGGCAGACACGTGAGCTACAGAGCTACATCCAGCACGAATCTTTCTCCTGACTACACAGCAATCCTGGGAGCAGCACAGGATGCTAAACATCAGGCAGGGCCCCTTATTCTTTAGCCTTGGCTCAAATTTTCCCTGCCACTTTTGATCAGCTGTGGTAAGTTACCTCTCTAAGTCCACTTCTCATCCTTCAAATTAAGAAAATAAAAGCTTCTTCACAAGGACATTGTGTGGCACAGTAATACACCAGCACAGTGGCCAGCACATGACAGAGCCTCATCCAGGTCCATCTTCTCCCCCAACAGAAGCAAATTTATTTCCAATCACAATGGTACTCATGTAGGTAGGCAGCTTTCAAGAGTCAGCTTTCTCCTTCTACTATGTGGGTTCTGGGGATCAAACCCAAGTGGTCAGTCAAGTATCTTTACCCACTGGGCCATCTCGCCACATCCGCCTTTTCTTTTTTTAATTCTTGACTTAGACTTTATAAAGAATCTTTTAAGAATGTATCTGGTTTGTACATAAAAGGAATATTTCTACCCCTGTGTGAATACTGGTCTTTCCAGAAGGCAGGCGGATTTAGGGCTTGCCTTTTGGAAGGGATGATGTAATTGTTTGGGCTTTGTATTTATCAGTCTCCAAGGAAACTCAATAATGAGGAAATACAAACTAGGTGTGTAACTATGCTGACCCCAGATAAGCCAGGGTGTGGGTTAGCTTTACATGAACTAGCAGAGCCTTTTATTAGCTGTGAACTCTACTCCCATTCATTTGTCTTATGGTTCAGAAGAGCTAGAAATGGGAGATTTGGAGAAAGTGAAAGGTAGGAAGATTTTTGGAGGAATAAAGAATTACCAGAATCAAGAGAAAAATATGCTCAAGTTAGATTTTAAAGTAGTTGAGTAATTTCTTTTTAAACTACCTTCAAAATATTACTAGCACAGGTAAGCAGAATGCATTTAAAACAAAAATTCAGGTATGATAGAAACAAAAGGTATAATTGAAATGCGAATGTTTGCCTTAAGTGACCACAAGCATTTCAGAGAGATTAAATTAAAACAGTATTATTCCTTATAGACATGAAAACTTAGCATATCAAAATTTAATGTTTGAGCCTTCATGATAATGTACATCTTTAATCCCAGCACTGGGGAGGCAGAAGCAGGCAGATCTCTATGAGATCTGAGGCCAGCCTGGTCTACACAAGTTACAGGCCAGTTGGGGCTACAAGGAGACCCTGTCTCAAAAAGTAAATAAATAAATAAATAATGTTTATAGTACATTTAATGAAGGGGCTAGATCTCCCAGGGAAAATGAAATGAACTCTGGTGTCTTTAAAATTTATTTGTACAATGGCCAGTTTGTACGATGTCATTTTATAAAATTTCTTTATAGGGATATATAGGACTCAACATTTGTAGCCACATCTGTCCTGGAACTCACTATGTAGACCAGGCTGGCCTTGAACTCATAGAGATCCACCTGCCTCTGCCTCCCAAGTGCTGAGACTACAGGCATGCGCCACCACGCCCAGCCTAGGACTCAACATTTTTAAGCACGACTGTTATTACATTAATGGAAAAGAATCGTAACTACATTTCTGAAATTTTAATAGGAGCCATTTAAGATATTACTTACAATTAACCACTCAATTTATACACACTGATGTACCATGTGAATTTAATTTCCTATAATTTCTATTTTATACATGAAAGACAGCTTTGTTATCTTTCTAATATCATCTCCATTTCCTATAAAAATCAGTTTCCCAAAACTTAATTTCAAATCTTCAGCTGGGGTTAAATTATATATTTAATCACTACCCCAGTTGAAATTTGCAAAAGTCATTATCAACTTTTTACTTATATTCACTTACTGATGGGTGGGCTTTGTTTTGTTGTTTGGGGGGGGCATGTGTGTACACATGGTAGGGGATGCATGTGTGTGGAGGCCAAAGGTTGACATGAGATGTCTTCTTCCACCCTGTTGGCTAAACTGGCTGGCCAGTAGGCCTCCCAATGCTGGTGAGGAGCGCTGCCATGCCCCACTTTTTATGCACAAGTCCTGGGAATCCAAACTCAGATCTTTCTTTATACATGCACAGCAAGTTCTTCTCCCTGTGAGCCATCTCCTCAATCCTTTCACTTACTGTTAATTCATTAATTTAAGCAATAGATACATATTTTGTGATGAGCAACATGAGGAATTTCACAAAGACATTGTAAATATTCCTATTTGTTTCAAAACACACCAACATATTGTACATAATTTAGAAGGCACAACTAAGGGAGAAATAAAATCACCTATAAGCTAACAACTGAGAGATTTATTTACAAATATGGGATCTCAGGATAATCTACAGTTCTAAGAAATTCTACTTGAGCAACAAACAGCGCAATGACTCCTTCCCACATTTTTCAAGATTAACTGCCATTTTGTTTTACCTTTAGTGTCTCGCTTCAAATTTCACTTTAACAAAAACAGTCCATACCAGGACGCATAGGGAAAAGAAGGGTTCACCATTAAATCCCCTATATTTCTTTTTTTTTAAATATTTTATTTATTATTTTTGTTTTATGTGTATGTGTATATTGCTTGTGTGTAGGTAAGTGCACCCATGTCGTGCAATGCCTGCAAGAGGACAGAAGAGGCGTTCAGATCCCCAGGAAATGGAGTTATGGACAGTTGTTAGCTGCCATGTGGGTGCTGGGATTCGAACCCAGGTCTTCTGCAAGAACAACCAGTGTTCTTAACTGCTCAGCCATCTCTCCAGCCCCCAAATCCCCTAAATTTTTTATCCACTCTGCTTCAGGACCTAAACTTACTTTCATCTCTGGGATAATTCATTTGTATCTGAAATCTTAACAGACTAAGTTAAGCTCCCTAATTTTGCTAGGGTCTTACCAATCCTGCCTGCAGGAAAGCTTCATCTTCTTCCCTCTTCGTTTGCCTTCCTACCCCCTGCTTCTAGCCCAGGCCATGTCCCTGCCCTGGGGTTTCCCAATGCTTTCCTCTGGCGGTTCCCTTACGGGAAGAGCTGAACAAGAGCCAGGACCCAGCAGTGACAGCGGACAGCTCTCCCTGCCACTGCATCCCCAGGCCTCCTGTGCAGGAAGAACAGCAGACTATCTAACCCATGTCAAAAGCAGGAAAGAGGCAGCAAGAAGACTGGCACAGATAAGCAAGACTTACTTGGGGTTCTGAGGCCAAATTCATCTTGTACGGATGGCGTTTCCCCTCCTCGCTCACTAGAGGAGACCAAATTTTATGTTCAGATCTGCAACAGATGAACAAAGAGGCTGTTCTCCTTTGTTTTGTTTCATTTTGCCTCCCTTCAATCAGCATGTCACATACATCGGGCAAGTGCTCAGGCCACTGAGCTAAAACCCCAGCCTAACACTGCTGTTTCATTCGTGTTAAATAACAGTCTGCCCTCTGTATGAACGGTCCTATATTCTTGGATTCAATCAGCTGCAGACAGACAACACCACAATTGTACTGAACATGTACAGATTTCCCCCCTTTCATCATTATTCTCTAAATAGTACAGTATAACAACTAGTTCACAGCATTTACATTGTATTAGATACTATAGATAATTCAGAGATGACTTAAAAGAGTACAGAAAGGTGCACACAAGTACTATACTGCTTTTATATAAGAGATTTGAGTACTCAGAGTTTGATATCCATAGCAGTCCCAGAACCAACCCCCACGGGTGCCAAGGAACAACTTTCTACCCTAAAAATCAATTTGGAAAAATGTCCCCTTTGCCTAGACTTGTACTCTTTGAACTTGTATCCTCCCATCAGACTTACCCTCTAATGTCAATCTGATGGTATCCATGTTGGATGGCTCCCACACACAGCCTTAAGGGGTTTCCCAAGCTGGCCTGCCTTCTGATGAACCCTCAGCCTCTACCACTACACTCTGGGTAACTGACATGGCCAGCAAACTCTTCCACATCCCTGCACCTGCCTGCTTCCTGCTGCCAGGGTAGAATCAACTTCTCTATGTTGGCTCAGTGTTCCTAGTTCAGACCAAATCATCAAAATATTTATGGAATTATCTCCTCTTTTAATCTAGCAAAGGGTTTTCTTCCTGTCAATCACACAGCAATTGTCTTGGTTCTGTTTCAGTTTTCATTAGTGTAAGATTTTTTTCTCTTGAAGGCAGAGAACATTTATACTCTCCTTTGTCAAGAAAGTACCGCCAGACATTTATAAGATGCACCTGTACAATATGTAAGTGAATTTTTTTTAAGTCAATGAACATGTTAGTCAATGAATGCATGAATAACTTGAACTGGAGTTTGAAGGAGATGCAGGCTGAGATAGACAAGAATAAAGGGTCGGGTGCCTTTGAGGGAGTCATAATAAAATAGGTACACCTCCCTCAGTGTAGGCTCTGGCATGCACAGAACATTCTGGCACATTCCCCCACTCTTGGTCTGCTTGCCAATCCTGTAACACATAATAGGAGGAAAAGATGTACTTCACAGAAGAGAACCTGCTGAGAAGCCGTGAAAGCGAAGGTTAGTGAAGCATTGACTGAAGCAGGTTTGTATATCAGAAAGAAAAACCAGAACTTGATCCAACAGAAAATAGGAAGCTGCTTAAGACTGAACCGATCACTCCTGAAATCTCACATTCATAGGGCCCCTTCCAAAACTACATGAAAGAAGAATAGAAATTCTACCCTCATTACAACTCCCAAGGGCTCCCTCGCTTGTCTGTCCAATGCCTACACTCCTTTCCTGTAGTACATTTGAAGTTACACTTGGCACTTTGTCTCACATGCTGGTCTTTGTGACTGTTATCTCAGGACACAATACTCACTGCACAGGGCAGCGTGACAGGAACAACATCCTGATTCTCAGAGCTCCTCAGGAAGAAACTTTCATATCATTATACCTAACAGTATTTAACTCATTTTTACCTCCTCGAGATTTGGGTTAGCTATGTTAGAGCAAGTGAAGATGCAGGTAACTTAGAGAGGCCTAGGAGAAGGGCTGTGAAAGTCAGAGAGGAAAAGAAGCAACCTCAAAGTCCAGTGCTACCAACCTGGCATGCTTTGAGCATGCACTGCATAGAGCTGGGGAAATGTAAGGGCTGAGATGAGGAAGGCAGCCCCTGCCTACAAGAAGCTTCTGGTCCGTCAGACGTGACCTAACATGTCCACAACCTCACCTGGATACCGTGAGTGTCATGTTGTCTGTGCAGCCCTTGATTTTGTTCTGAGCTTCCAAATGTGTCATATTGCTGGTATTTTCTCCATCAATGGCTGTGATTATATCTCCAATACATAAATTAGCTATCGCAGCCTTGCTTCCAGGAGTGACCTGGCAACAAAAGGGAAAGGAGTTAGTTACTATTTGTCTCCAGGGAAACCAATCAGTAAGTACCACCAGGTTAAGTACTCACCGATACAGATCAAAGCCTTGAAAAGAGAGAGCTTAGCAAGGTGGTGCACACCTGTGACCCCAGCACGATGGAAAGTAAGGCAGATGATGGTTCAAAGCCAGCCTGGGCTACATAGTGAGTGAGTGCAAGGCCAGCCTGGGATATTTAAGAAGGGAATGGATGAATAATCAAACAAAGGGGGTGAGGGTGGAGAAAGAAAAAGGAAGGAGAGTGTGTTAAAATAATAAATTTAATAGCAGACTTTATACTTATGCAATATTTCCTGATCTTTTTCTTTTTGTGACCTCATGGTACCCCTACAACCTTGGTAGGAAAAAGGAGAACACACACCAATCCTCAGTTCAGACACCAAGAAATTAAGGCTTGGAAAGATCTGCCACCTACCCAGGATCACTCAATTATAACATTACTAACCATCCCACTAGTCTACTGGAGAATCAAACCTTGAATCTGACCCAAAGTTCTGACCCATTGAGTTTTCTTCTTTAAGTTACAAACACATCTTTTTAAAAACACGCACATACTCTTAGAGAACATTATGTACAATAACTGCTATTTCTGTAAAATTTTAACATGTTTTTATAAGCACAGACAAAACTGGACTTGCTCACGGCTATAAATTTCAGTAATGTGTTCATTTCTTTACAATGAGCTTGAGTTCCTTTTAAATTTTAACAAAACAATAAAGATCGCTTTTAAACACGGTATGGGTTTGCACTGACTCATTCCCTCCCACCCAGGAAGCTGACTACAATCAGGGTCCCCCCTACAGGTGGCTTGATGCTTTTCTGCAAGTTAACGCTTCCAGTCCAGAAGTTCCAAATTTACAGACTGCTGATGCCTAGGAAGGCCAGTCAATCACTGCAGGGGAACCTCAAATCCATCTGTCTACCGAACATTCTGTGTTGCCTGAGTAAATATGTCTCCCACACAAATACACATCTAGTTTTCAAGAATACAATGCTGATATGATGGATGAAAAACAAAATGATTTCGGGGGCTGGAGAGATGGCTCAGCGGTTAAGAGCACTGAGTGCTCTTGCAGAGGACCCGGGTTCGAGTCCCAGCACCCACATGACGGCTATGAACTGTCCTTAACTCCTGTTCCAGGGGAATCCAGAGCCCTCTTCTGACCTCCAAGGCATTTCCCGACATGGGTGCACTCACGTACATGCAGGCAACATACTCATACATGTGAAATAAAAATAATAAATTTTTTTTAAAAAAAAAAATGATTTTGAAGCAGTACTAACCTCAGAGTAACTTTTCTGAATCAAGGCATACTACAATGTTACTGTCATCAACCCAGGGCTAGTCCATGACTACACATTAAAAGGCCCTCCTGGACTGGATCCCACAGGCAAGATGACACTGGCACCCCCAGCCCCTCAGCGCCCACAAGGTTCTGGCTTCCTCCTGCCTCCACTGAGTTAGTAGATCTTGCAAACCCTTTGGGGTCTCCATAAGCAGGTCCAGAACACAAGAAGAAAGCCCCTAAGCCTCAGTTCTCAGCAGTCAGGTTCCAAAACAGCCCCCACCAAACAGAAAACACTGGCCCTCAAAAAGAAGCTAGTGTGGGGCCCTGCCATGTGGCCCACTCCCTCATTGGCACCCTGATCCCACAAAATGGGGGCTGAGTTGATCTTTGAGATCCCTTCTGGCTTAAACACACTCTGATTTCACCAGACAAAACTCCCCCGGAATGTGGAGGATGTGGAACCAGCACAGAGATCTTGACCTCCTAACCTTCCTCTCCTGCTTTCCATCATGTGTTTATCAGACATCTGGCTCTTAGAAAACAAGACCCCCTTCTCCAGGGAGCTACTGGGCGAGACGTTTTACACAGGCAATTCTCCTTCCAGTCAGCAATAGGAAGCTCATTCTGAGTCACTCCGTGTGGCAGTAAAAACAACGTTCTCTCACTTTCTGACCCGTCTTCCTGAGAAGATTGGGCCAGTGCCATATCATACATGTTCTGCTTTTTCTAAATGACAATGCAGACTTTTTTCTTTTTTGAGACAGTGTCTCAAGTATCCCAGGCAGACCTCAAACTCCCTAATGCAGCTGACTCACTTTTTAAAAAAAATTTCTTATATTTTATTTATTATTTTTATTTTATGTGTATGAGTGTATTGCCCACATGTATGTAAGTACACCAGTGCCATGCATGGCCCGTGGAGGTCAGAAGAAGGCATCAAGTTCCCTGGAACAGGAGTTACAGTTGGTTGTTAGCTGCCATGCAGGTCCTTGGAATTGAACCCGGGTCCTCTGCAGGAGCAGCCAGTGCTCTTAACCACTAAGCCATCTCTCCAGCCCCTGGCTCACTTTTTAATGGGCCTACCTAAGTATCCCTTTATTTGGGGTTGGCAATGGTGCCAAATTGGCAAACTCTATCCCCAAGCAGACAAGCTTGAAATCCTGGAGAATAATACTCATCAAACTCACTTAATTATGAGCAAATAGAACATTGCAGCATTTTATCCTTAGGATAAAACCCACAATCCTGGGGCTGGAAAGACGGCTCAGCGGTTAAGAGCACTGACTGTTCTTGCAGAGGACCCGGGTTTGATTCCCAGCATCCACACAGCAGCTATGAACCGTCCTTAACTCCATTTCCAGAGGAATCCGAAGCCCTCTCCTGACCTCCGCGGCATTGCACTACACAGGTGCACTCACATACATGCAGGCAATACACTCATACACATAATATAAAAATAAATAAATATTAAAAAAGAACAAAATAAAATATCTAATGTTGCTAAAGATGTTATTAAGGGCTGGGGAGATCATTTAGTGGGCCATAGGTCTTGTGGTGAAAGCATGAGGACCTGAGCTCAGGTCCTCCAAACCCATAGGTAAAAGCCAGGTGTGGCCTCTTACCTATGATCCAGGCGCTTGATAGGGGTGGAGGCAGGATTGCCGAGGCTTGCAGGCAGTCAACTAATCAAAAACATAGTGAGCTCCAAGTTCAGTGAGACCCTGTCTCAAGGAGTGAGGTGGAGAATAACAGAGCAAGGCACCAACTTCCTCTGTTCCCCACTGGAGTATACATGGCACACACCAGTCCACAAACACACATGTATATACACCCACTCAAGTATGCACAGAGACATAATCAAGCTGCTTCATTTTCTCCTTTAAAATGAATATATCAAAATAATCAGAAATAGGCAGGGTGATGCACACATTTAATCCCAGCACTTGGGAGGCTAGAAGCAGGCAGATCTCTGAGTTCCAGGTCACCCTAGTCTACATAGTGAGTTCTAGGCCAGTTGGGGGTAACACAGACCCTGTCTCAAAAATAAATAATCATCAAAACTTTTTTCAAAAATCAAAGAACCACGTGCCCAAATATCACTATCCTGGACCATGTCTTAAATAGAGGTTTTCTTTTACAGTCTTCTGTTCAGTTGTGGAGAAGTCTGGAATCTCCAGCATTCAGTCCACACTGCTTCATGGGAGTGGTGTTTCTTCTGAGTATGTCCCAACAGGCCCCAGACAAGCTAAAACCAGTCTTAGGAGCCTCACACTTCAGTAATTTGGGCCTAGCCAGCCTATGTGATTTCCTTTTTTTTTTTTTAAATCAAACTGATAGGAAGCCAAAATTTCTGAAAACTACAGGTGAGACTCTGATGGAATCACATTCTTTTCCAAGTCATCTCTTTGTTTAAAGGTAGGGGTTGGGGATTTAGTCCAAGTGGTAGAGTGCTTGCCTCACGCATACAAAGTCCTGGGCCTGATTCTCCCCGATACTATATAAACCAGACATGGGGGAAGTCCCCGCCTATAATCCCAGCACTTAGGATGTAGAAGCAATAAGATCAGAAGTTCAAAGTTAGCCCCAGCTGCATGGTGAATTTGAGACCAGCTTGTGCTACATGAGTTCCTTTTTCAAAAAGCTAATGAATTAATTAATTAAACCACAAAACATCTTTATAGGGTCATTCATATACAACCTACTCAAGATCATAAAAATGATGAGCTCACATAGATTGGATGAGCAAGCACATATTAGGCAACTTTTTAAAGGAGGAAATAGAGATGTAAAGAAGCGCACCTGGTTCAAGTCCACACAGCTAAAGGCTTGTTTGTGCTCAAGCTTAACAGCAGGTCCTTCCACTGTAAAGTCCATTCTTTTCTGCTTTAATGTAACAACAGCACAACAGTGACTCTAAGCCCGCTGTTAGAGCCACAGAGAAACCCAGAACTAAAAGGCACACTTGCCAGGGCCTTCTGTGCAAAGGATGGTGCCACAAAGCCCTGCTGGCTAGGAGCCTCCCAGGCAGGGAAAAAGGCTCCACTGCAGAGATGGGTTTGGGTCCAGAACCCACCCTTAGAAAATACACCAATCAGAACACAGAACTGAAGAGGACAACAGGTGAGAAGGCCTGCTGGAGAGTTCCTGTCTGGAATGGTGGACTTCCTACCACACACTGGCTCTATCATAATCAACCTCAATCCTAACGTGGCCAGTTAATGGGTACTTATTATGTGCCAACCTTGGTCTAAGTGGTTAGCAAGGGTTAATTTATGATCCTCTCATGAGCTTACCAGGCAGGCAGTGTTATTTGCATTATCACAGATGAAAAAATGGAGGGACAGGATTTAAGCAGTTTGTCTGAGGTGACTCAGCTGGTGAGAAGCAAGCCATGGCAGGCTCCGCTATACCACACGTCTATCCTAATTTCCTCCTAACCATCAAATTCCATCAGAGCCAGCTCATGATGGAGTCAGCTTCAAGTCCTAAAAAAAGAAACCCTATACTTCCCTCCAAAAACACAGCCTCATTTGTTCATTCAATGGACACCCCCCAGTTTCTTTCACCAGCTTTCTCCAGAGATCATGCAACTTTACAGCTCTTGCTGTAAAGAGTAAACCAGCTTAGGTGCAACAATTTCTATTAAAGAATAATCTGCTA